GCCGTTCCGAAAATTAGTAAGATATGTAGTACTTGCTGTCGCCCGCAACTCCGTCTGTTCCAGACTATGTTCTACCTGTGTGTCAAATTTCATCACAATCCGTTGAGCCATTCTGGAGATATCTTCTAACAAATATACATCTATCTATCTAAGCATTCGCATTTATATTATTAGTAAGATATAACATAATTTTACTTGTATATTAAATATGAATTATAACTAAGATACGGCATTCGAAAGCCCATGAGGACGAAACACCCGACGTGTAATGAGTGATTTCGTAGTGAGAGTGCTTTATACCGTATCATCCGGCGCCAACCCCAAATGTTGCCAACCCTCCGCGAAAATATTAAAGCGAGGAACTATTTTTTTTTTCGTAATTAGAAATCGTCATTGAATATAAAAGTTGTTTTGGTTACCAAACATGGCCGTCGGCCTCGCCCCAGGTGACTTGAAGCGCGATTTCAAGATGGAGTACACTTCAAAACGGCGGGAAAAATTGTTGACAGGTGTCAATCTATCTTTTTTTTTGTAAAGGCAAAGGATTTTAATTTTTTATGCCACTGTTAAGTAGTTAATTATTTTTTTACTTTTATTTACGTTAACTTTTAGTTTCATTTACGTAGTAGTGCAATGAAATTTTGGAACAAAGAAACTCGTACGATTTAATTATTTATTCAAAATATTGTTTATTAAAAGGGACTTTCTACGTTTATTCAAAATTATTAAAATATCAAAAAGTATTTACAAAAACATATCTCCGATTTTTTTTTTAATTTTTTTTTATACAGATGTGTCAGCAATGGAAACTTACAGAGTGACTATTAAGATTCAAAGCAGGTGATATATTAGTCATATTTTACGTCTAAAAATGAATATTACGTCGATACACCGAAATGCATGAATGTCTTACAAACCGAGGAAGCTTCAACTTCCTGCGACCGCCGAGGATACGTTGATAGTATTTTAAAGTATTTCTCGTCACTTACCTACGGCAATGTGTCGTATGGTGTGCCTGTGTGCGCGTGCACATATAGGTGTGAATGTGTGTGCGTGCATTTCGTAAGTTCATTCACCCTGCTAGTTGGGGAAGTTGGGAATAGAGGAAAGAATGGAGTCGCGGTTGGAATTTGAAGGATTGGTTTTGGCGTGTATCGTAAATTGGTGATGATTTTTTAAAAGTAATTACGCTAAGTGATGCTTAAGTTGCATATTAAATATTATTTATCCTAATGGTAAGTTACTATTAAAATACGAACTCCTTAAAACAAATTTAAATTAAATTCTTATTTCTAACAAAGAAATGAGTTAAAAAGAAAAATTGTTGGCAAAACAATAACTTTAATAATATTGTTCACTAGCGGTCGTCCGCGACTTCGTCAGCACAGAACTTAAAAAGTTGTAGTCTATAATATGACCTCGTACATCAGTTACCTTCCCATTAAAGTTCCGTCCAAAACGTTCCAGTCGTTTCGGAGATTACTCGCTGTACAAACGCGGCCTCGCTGACAGAAATACACGCAGAAAAAAAAAAATGGTTTGTCATCAGCAATGCAAATACAGCATTCGTACGATATATATATATTTTTTTTCGATGTTACATAAAGACACTCCATTTTTTTTAATAGGTATAGATAATCGAAGTATAAATTGATATTGAACAACTCCACAGATTTCCTTTACGTCCGATATTTAACCGAGTCGCGGAGTTGCATTTTTGCCACGCACGCACTACACGCACGTATGTATACACACACACGCACACATACAAGCGCTCCTCATTACGTAGAAATAGCCCATAACATAAGAGCAAGTGCGTATGGTAAACGCTTTTTTAACTTACGAACAAGTCTCGCGTTAAAATTCTTTTTGAGGTAGGCAGAGTCTTAGAACGCGCGGGAAATGTCTGCCTGTTAAATTCATAGTCAACCTTACTACTGCAAAAATATTATTATCTTGTTAAAGTTTAGGTACAGTTGTCTTTAAACCCATCTCTTTAAAAAAATTCAGGTAAAATTTACTAAGGTAAAAATCTTGGATTGAAGATCTTATGGCCGAAGCCAAATCGATCTGAAGATATAAAAAAAAATACTTAAGTTCCTTAGTTGAAGTTATGTAGGTTAAATTTAAAGCAAATGGATTATTTATAATTAGAAATGTTTTGTAATAAAACCCAAGATTAGCTAAAAGCATTTAAGATATATTCGGTTCTACCTCACATCGTCGACTACACCCGATAATCTTTGTTTCTAGTCACCCCTGTTAGATTTTAACGATCGTTAAACTACATTTCTATACAACTTCCAAACAATTAAGCGAAACTAAAACTTAGCTATACATATGTACGTTGTACTAATAAACTATTAAAAAAAAATTTCGTCCCCTTAAACATTGATTCGGATAGAATCGAACCCCAGACTTGGGCGAATGTCCGCTCGATTTGCCGACGTCAATGTGTCACCGATTGATAGAGAAAACCGTCTGTTTATAGATAACCCAGCGGGGCTAGACAAGGTGCATTCACTTCCAAGCGATTCCATAACGAACTTCACAAATGTATGAAAATGACACGCGAAAATAATGCGTGACTAATTTAAAAAATGACGTAACACTTTGTAAACGTGACTGTTATTGGCTGTCATTTTTGCGCACCCAGCGAATGATGACAGTGAAGTGACACATTATGGTGTCTCTGTTATTTCATAGCGGTTGGAAGAGATGACAATATGCGTCAAAAATGATAACACGTCACTATGTGAAGGAATTCGTTTGTATTTGCCGATTCATTTTTCTTGTCTAGGCAAATTGCAAATAGGCGGAATTCACGATCGTTCGGTGACAAGTACATGGCGAGTAGGGCTCTTGTGAGCTAAGCCCCTACTGATTGCGCCTCTTAAATACCGAGATATATTTCATTTTATATATGAAATTAGGCAGAATTCAATAGGACGTAGGTAAACTGGACAAAGGTTTTGTACATTCAATTTCGAACGTTTATTTATCGCGATTTGGAACAGAATAGCAGTACGTTTTTTTTTATTTTGTTATATTATTATAAAAATGCGAATGTTTGGATAGAATGGATGTTTGTTAGAAGATTTCTTCAAAACAGCTCCATGGATTTCGATGAAATTTGCCATGGATGTAGAATATAGTCTGGACGACAACATGAAATCCTAATTAAGTTTTTTTCAATTCCTCGCGGACGGAGTCGCGGGCGACAGCTAGTTTTTTTTTTATAATTACTTAGAAACTTGCAATAAGATGGTGCAATAATAGTCGAATGACGGATTCAAACCGATGATCCCATGTTTGCAAGTTTAACCGTAATTTTAAGTTGATAGTTAATGTTTTGTTTCAGAGTTTGATCGTATAAAGAAGTATGGATGAAATCTGACTTAAACGATATTTTTAGTAATACATTAAGATTAAGTAAGTAAGATTAAGAATAAATAGAAGAATAACATACAAATTTAAACATTTATACCAATAAGTACTGTCTTATTTATTACTCTCCTTAAAATAATATCATGATTTGGAAATATTTAAAAATTGATATGGCCAATATTTCATTACTAGTGCTGCCATCTATTGTTGATTTCACGAAAAACGAACTACCATCTATCGGAAATCAGTTCAATAGTTTTTTTTAATGTTATTCATAATTAAAAATTGTGTGTTTTTAACAACATTATATTTTCTAGGAAATAATGAAAATGGCTTATTTAATTATGTTTCGCCAACGTATGAAGTTTACTAAGCCAACCTGCAGTTTTGCCCACCAGTGGGCAAGACGCCCAGGATGCTACCAACATAAACGTTAAAAATTTCTTTGTCCCCTATAATTAGGACGTGTTGAGTGCAAGTCGAGACGAACGAACCATTGGTTATGGTCCAAGTTGCTAACTGTTAGCGGGTATTTTAGATATTCAGTAGGATATTTGTTTACTAATTTTTGTATGTAGTATAAACTGTAAAAAAAATAGTTTCTCAAATCAAATAATTAACGTATATTTTTTTAAGTTGAGAAGCGGCCCCCTGATTTCGTTAACATGCTGCCACCTATAGACACCTATAGTTGCACTAACGAGAGGACGCACAGAAAGTTTATATTTTTCTTTTGTTCTCTAACTGACACTCTCGAAGTTGATTAGGTAATTAAACAGTCCTTTCGATTTAACATGTGAAACCTACGCTAAGTAACCATTTCTTTCCAACCAGTCTTTTTTTTTTTCAAAACAACTTTAGATGACAAAGGTTACTAAGATAATCGTCACCCGCTACCTCCTGTGCCTTGACAACGTTATTCGGGTCTCTAGCCCCCTGTATTTTGGCGCGCATCGCCCTCGTATTTTGGTTCTCCAATTAGTACCGCCGTCGTAATTGTGCCGTAAAGCGGACTTAATGAATTCCTATACTTTACCCGTTGTTTGATGTAATAATACATTTGTTTTGACTACTAACGCCCTCTAACGACAAATGATATGATGTATAATATGACAACAATCAACCCTCCTTTTGATAAGTCAGACACGGTTGTTTGGAATAGTTTTGATGCCTCTCCATATGCTAATAAGAAACTATTTTGCATAATATAGTCCAACTTTACTAAAAGTGTACTCCGCGAAGCCCTCGGCTCTTTCTAAAGGGTCTTAGGAACTGTTCCTAATTAATAAAATACTAAATGGGGTGGGGTTCCGAAAGAAAAATCCGTCATAAGTTTAAAATTACATATTATCACTGAATAATAAAAGATTGTGAAGAGATCAGTGTTCGTTTATACGTTTCGTAAAAGGTTTCTCTAGGAAAAAAAATTGAGAACCACTGATATATTCTACCTAAATTAATACCAAAGCTTTTTAATCCAGACTGCGAAATTTAAAAAATAAACTTGAAAATATTTAATCCATTTGACAGATCTGTCATATTGACATCCGTTTGGAGCACTAATTATATACGAGTACATAGGATTATTATTTAAATAAATTAAATATTTACAGTTAAAGTCTTCAAGATGACATCTCATAGAATAGAAGTATGCCATTCAGCAGACCTTAAGAAGCTGTTGCTGGAAGCTGGCGTGGTGTGCGCGCGGACAGTGGCACAATCTGAGGAATCATCGCTTAGCTCTGAAGAGACTGTCAAAGATGGTATGTAGAAAAGTTTGTGTGCTGTGCGACCGGACCTTTAAAAGTACACAAAAAATCTTATTAAATCAACGATACGAAGGTGAGTGTCATAAAATCACAAATATTAAGGCTAGGCCCCTTTTGTTCGTTTTCATGGTTGTCTGCTATACGTTAAAATTGTCTTAGATATTTTGTCATACAAATTCATCTATCTATCGTCATTCCAGTCTTGATTCAATTCATCTATACTTAGGCTTATGAATTTAAAAATAATAATATTACTATCTAGTACCAGGTCACGAAATAGAAGCTGAACACGAGGAAATTGTGGTACATGAGGAATCAACGTATCCCACTGAAGAGATTACAGAGGAACAGCCGGAAATATTTCCAACACCGTCCTTGAGAAAAATGTTACCCGACAAAATAAGAATGATCGAAAAACATAATCGAATTCACGTTCTACCAGAAGTATTCAAAACTGATATAGACCCAATGAAGATACCCAGGATATTGAACACACATCCTCAAAAGTATATCAACGATTTGGCTGAAATCACAGGATGCAAAAATTATATGAATAGTTTAGCGGAGTTCTGGTTTTTGGATACTTTAGCTAATTTGTTAAGACGGGCACAGGAAGATGGGTTTGAGAAACGTAATTAATAATTATTTAACGTATATTATTTATCAGAATTTTAAAGCAATATTTAATGTGGCTTTATTTTTACAGCTTCTCAGGTTGTGCTTATCCAATGGTTTTGTGAATGGATGAAGGAGATTCAACATTTTGATGCTGCGACCAGACAACGTATGCTCAAGAGATTTAAGGTAAAAACCTGTAAGACACACCTCGTAAATAAATTATTATAAGCAAGTCAAAATAGGGGGCTATCGCAGTTAATCGATTTTAAATTCAAACGAAGTTACATCTGTTTTGAAATCTCATTTGTTTTGGTGCGATTATGTTTCGGTTCATCGACTCAAATAGTTACAGTACCCTAGCTGTCCGCCCGCGACTCCGTCCACGCGAAAAAGAAAGAAATTATGCGAAAAAAAAAAAAATTATTAGCCTATGCGTTTGTCAGGTCTATGTTCTACATCTATGCCTTATTTCTGCGATTTCAATGCAGCTGTTCTGGAGATACCTTCTAACAAACATCCATCCATCCAACATTTGCATTTATAATATTAATAAGATTGCAATGAGCTGTTAGCTGCCAATTTAGTTTTATCCTACATCTCCAGGATCTACTGTCATGGTTTTTGAAATTCCATATTACCAGGATACCATGCTACTAGCTGCTGGATACCTGGCCCAGTACGATGAGCTGCCTGTCCCCGCGGACGTAGGTGTGTCATACAAGCCGGAGGAGACCGCGGGCGCCAGTCTGCCCCCCACGGCAACGGCTTCCAAGCAACTCGTTACCTTTGAAAACTTTCAATGCTGTCTCACTGATTTGACTAAGATAATTCATTACATTTTTGATTTGTAAGTTTATAAGCATTACAGTAGGTTTCCGAGACGAAAATCTTGTTGTTTCTATTTTGCCAAAGAAAAGTGACGATATTTTTAAACAGATATTTTGGTCTCAGGAACTGTTAAAAGCGTTAAAGCGTCATTAAGGGAGTTAGTTTGGACATAGTATTTGAGGTCTACTCTATCTTACATATTTCAGGTTTAGTTCAGACTTCCAGTACGATCTGATCCGATCAGTGTTCACTTTCACGCCGGAGTATCGGATAATAGACGCGCCGCACACACTGCAGCAACCTAAGCGTTTCTTCACAACCTACAAACCTAAACCCAAAGAAAAGGCGCCCAAAAAAGAAAAGGAACAAAAAACGGCCAAGGGGAAGAAGAAAGAAGTCGAATCTGAACAATTCTTACATTTAATTCAGGTAAACAAACGTAGAATTTTTATCTTTTTCAAATTATTAAATTACATAGTGAAACTGTGGAATGTTTGGAAAAAACTGGATTTATAGAAATTTGCGCGCCTATAAAAATAAAATAGCAATAATGACGCAACACTCGTACGACACCAAATGTAGGCGTTTTTAGATATAATTTTGTCTCACGTCCAATTTCAGCTTCAAAACGAAATAGAGCGCGAGAAAGAAGAAGAACTCGAGAAGGAGAGAGAAGATTGGCACAGACGGAGTCATTTGCTGCCGCTAGCGTTTGCGGTCACAGATGAGTTCTTTGATAAGTACTGGCCACCGCCTACACCGGAAATCGTTTCTATACCAGAACCCGAGCCTAAAGGGAAGGGAAAGAAGAAATAGAACTAGTCTTTTATTTATAATCTTTAACCAATCTTAACAAGTTTTAAGACAACGCCATCTTACGGTATTCTGTGAACTAATAAATTAAGTTTTTCTCATAGTTTACTAGATGGCGTAAAACTTGTATTTTATTGCATTTGTTTTCATAATTTTAATAAATCAGAACAAGCATTGATTATAATATTTATTCGTACATATTTTAATATACTGGAATTATAGAATTATGATAAAATGCTACATCGAATACTAAATATATGACACATAGAACCAACATAGAAGCATCTATTTTCACATTTATATGTTATCGAAACACAATGGAAATACATGTCAGTTTCCAAAAGATACATAAATTATGATAAGTTCAAATGATGACAATAAATTAATTTGATATATGGTAGCTTATATTAACATAGATATTTTAAAAATACAATATATATTTTTTCTATTGTTTATTTTATATATAATAGTTTTTAATTTAAAATAAAAATTGTTAACACTACAGAACATTGATTTTGTAAATTTTAAATTGTACAAATACTGGCCACATAAAAAATGTTACTAATTTTTGTAATACATTCTCAAATAAGAAAAAAAAAAGAAAAATGATTACCTAATAATATTGAGCATTTTTACTGAGAGTAGAAAAAAATTGGAAAATTGCAATAAAATAAGGAATAATCTTACTTTTTTATATCCATTTAAAATGACTTAGTTCTAAGCACATTCTGTTTAGTAATTGGTCACTTAGAGAAGCCCATAGTGTATTACATAAACTCAATCCACAACAAGGGAATATAAGCAGCTATTACATGACTGATCTTTGGTTTCCGAGACCAAAAACTCTGTTAAAAAAATTTAGTAATCTATGTTTTGTCCAAGATATTTACAGGGATGTCTTGAAGTTTTTGGTCTCAGAAACCAATGGTAAGTTCATTTTTAATCTATAGACACCCAAATTAGGAAACAAAAGTAAGGCGAAAAAAGGACTTCGGAGGGCTTTTGTTGGGATAAATTCCTTCGGTCAAACTTCAAACTTGTAAATAAAGTCTTTAAATCGTCTATAAATAATTCTATCTATGATGAGAGTTTGACAAACATAAGACTGTGGAAATATGTCAAAAATATTAATTCAAAGATTCCAAATGTTGTAACAAATTTTGTAATTTGTCATAATTATTGATAAAAATTATATTTATGTATTGAAATATTTGGTACTTTATATTTAAATTGAAATAATATAAATTTTACAACAATACAGATATGAAAATTTTAACCATTGGCAATAAGCACCATCGATTTTTAAGACAAAAAATCTAAATTTATGAAGCAAATTTCTCATGTAAAACTAATTTTGAGCGAAAACATAAGTAAAAATACAACTACTTTCAAGATTCACGACTACAAGTCATTATAAGCACTGATTTCTATAAATGAATAGGCTAAAAGACATAGTATTTGTGCCTATTGGATAGCGGTGATGATATTTAATCATAGAGATGGAATAAACTGTCAGTATCATCAACAGGCAGAATTAAGTTGAATCGAAGCAAAAGCTGTCATTTACAAGCAATGACCTATCCATTTTTAGAGATCCGTGATTTTTACCATTAACCGTGGGTTTCTGAGACTAAAATCTCTGTTTAAAACATATTGTTATCCCTGTTTAGTCAAAGATAATGACATTGTTAGGTTTATGGTACATTTATATATGTTTTGTACTGGCAACTTTGTGTAACTGTGTTCGCTGTTTGAAAAGATGTCATGGCGTGTGTGTAAGAAAATAAAGATGATTAAACAATAAGAAAAGTGTGTTTTAACATGGTAGCAGAGTTTTCTTTAACATGGTAGCAGAGCGTGGTTATACAAATTGTTTACGAAGAAATGTTTAAATATTTGCTGCATCGCATTAAGTATAAAAATGGCGTTTATGAAAAACAACGAAATGTTGATTCCTATGTTTCATGGCACGGATTATGTAAAATGGAAGATTCGGTTGCTAAAGTTCTTAGAATTCAAGAAATGTAAAGATGTCGTTACAAGAACGAAATCAGAAAATGATGCTAGCGCAAAATGGCAAGAAATGGATATTATGGCTACCAATTATATTTACAGCGCAATAACGAATAACCAGCTGGAATATATATGTGATTTGGATTCTGCATTCGAAATAATTACGAAGTTTGACGGAATGTATTTAAAGAAGTCGACGGCATTGCAAATATTATATATAAATAAACTTGAGAATGTGAAACTTAATAATTATGCTGATATAAACATTTTCTTCAATGATTTTGAGACATGTATAAACGAATTGAAACAAGCTGGTGCAAATATAAGTGAAAATAAAAAATTGAGTTATATGTTAAAGTCATTACCAGAAAAATATAGTTACATTGGAGACCTTACAGATATATTACCGGAAACAGAGAGAAATGTTGATTATGTGAAAAATAAAATTAAATGGAATGGTTAGAATCTAATTCTGATATGACAGTGGCAGCATGTGAAGCTCCCCAGGATAAGTCAAATGCTTTTAAAGTTGAAGCTAAAAAGTCATCACCAATCCAGAGTTTCCAGACAAGAATATGTTTTGGTTGTGGTAAAAGAGGCCATGTTAAGAAGGATTGTTGGTATAATGTAAGTCATGGACATGGACATAATATATTTCAATGTGGTCGAGGGAAATATAATTCCAGAAGTTTCCGAGGTGGTAGTGGAAACTACCAGGCTTATCAACAAAGGTCAGAAAATAAAAATGAATATACAAGAAATTTCCATACAACTATTGTTAATAATATGTCAACTGTGAGTGAAAACAATGTTAATAAAGGTGAGATAAATTGGTTGCTTGACAGTGGATGCACTGATCATATAATAAATAGCGATGAGTATTTTGATAATTTTATAACATTGAAAACACCAATAATGGTAAAAGTTGGTAATGGAAATCTATTAGAAGCGACAAAAGTTGGAAATATTACTGCTTATTTTCCTGTATATAACAAGAAAGAAAAGGTAATAATAAATGATGTATTCTATGTGAAAGATATGAAAGCAAATTTATTGAGCTATGGAAAAATAACAGAAAATAATAATATTATTTCAAAAGGATATTTAACAAAGATTTATACCAAAAATGGATCATTAATAGGAATTGCTAAAAAGGATGGAGGTTTATACAAAATGACAAGTTTTGTACAAATAAATAAAATACAAGCAAATATTACTAAAAGTACATTGACAATGAAAGAGAAAATACATAGAACATTGGGACATGTGAATTTTAAATATTTAAACATAATGTGTAAAGATAAGTTGCTTGATGGATTCCCTAAAGAATTGGAATCTGAATATATGAAGTGTGCAATCTGTATTGAAAATAAAATGCATAACTTACCTTTTCATAATAATAGACAATGAGCTAGAGATATACTAGATATTGTTCACACGGATTTGAATGGGCCACATAGCACAACAGGTAATCATGGTGAAAAATACTTTTTGAGTTTCATCGATGACTACAGTAAGTTAGCAAAAATCTATTGCATTCCATCCAAAGAACAGGTGTATGAATGTTTTGTACATTATGTAAATGAAGTGCACAATATAACTGGAAAAATGATAAAACAACTGAGGTGTGACAATGGAAGAGAATATTTAAATTCAAAGATGTATAATTTAGCAAGAGATAAAGGTATAATGATAAAACCTTGCCCACCTTATGTGCATGAATTGAATGGTACTGCTGAGAGGTACAATAGAAGTATAATGGATATGGCAAGATGCTTGTTTGCTGAAGCAAAAGTCGATAGAAAGTACTGGCCTGAAATAGTAAAGACGGCTACATATCTAAAAAACAGAACATTGACAAATACTATTGAAAAAAAGGACACCTTTTGAAATTTTCTTCAGAAAAAGGCCATCCATGAATTATATGAAAATTTATGGCAGTAAAGTTTTTGTGAGAATACCAGAAGAAAAGCGCAAATCAAAATTTGATAAGAAGGCTGAATTAGGAATATTGTTAGGCTACACAGATGTTGGTTATAGAGTTTTGATTGGAGGTAAAGTAATTGTTGCAAGACATGTTGATATTATAGAAGAAGATGTTAATTGTATTGGTCTTGAAAATGATGAAGAACATCAAAATGAAGAAATTAGTAATGAGGCAGGGCAAAGTAATTTAGAAGATGAAGAAACAAATGATGACAATATAAAGTTGCCCGAGAAGAGTTATGGAGAAAATAGACCAAAGAGAAATATAAAACCTCCAAATCGATTTGATGAAGAATTTGGTTATTATTGTATTTTAGTAAATCATTGTGATGCTATGATTCCAGATAACTTTCAGGAGGCGATATCAAGTGATGAAGCCAAGCAGTGGATAAATGCAATGAACAGTGAAATGAATAGTCTTAAAAGTAAACAAATTATAGAACAGACAATAATAAATTGTATGATAGATTTAAAATGAAGGATATGGGTAAAGCTTAAAATTATATAGGAATTGAATATGAATATAATAGAGATTGTATTGTAGAATTTATTGGTCGTAGTATTAATGTTAATAGTTAAATATATAAATGTAAGGAGGCTTGTTAGGTTTATGGTACATTTATATATGTTTTGTACTGAAAACTTTGTGTAACTGTGTTCGCTGTTTGAAAAGATGTCATGGCGTGTGTGTAAGAAAATAAAGATGATTAAACAATAAGAAAAGTGTGTTTTAACATGGTAGCAGAGTTTTCTTTAACATTAGTTTCGTTGATGACATTATATATTATACAGAGAATTTGGTCTCAGAAACCAATGGTTAATAACTAACAGTTAATATGATGATTAATTCATCAGTAAAAGATGACCATTTACTCTGAGTGCATTATTTACATATAGAAATGCATATTACACACCAAAATTCCTTACAACTAAGACAATATTTGGTTCTATTTTGAGTAAAATTCTTAGATATAGCTGACAAATTAAAAAATATAATCAAAAAAGTATATCTGGCTCAATAAGTTACTTTACTATCGCAGTTTATTTTATCAGATAAATATGTAAAACCTACATGGATATAGAAAATGAAATAAAAGAAAAAAATATGTCTTCACAGCTATGAAAAGGACCATGTGACAATTTTTTTATATTACATAAGGGTGTTAGTGAGCTATCATTATTTAGATTGACTTAGACCAGGGAAGATATTCTTTGGTCGGTCTATAATTATAGACTGACAAAATTATAAGGCTCGGAGGACTTATGACACCTTATTACACTGAGCACACTAGCACCCCCTTTCAATGTCAAAGGGACACAAGATCTATATCTTATTGTTGCCTTCTTGTCACATCTTGTATGTCATTTTGTATACCTATGTATTTTTTACATTTTTTACCATCAGAACTAAACTGGAACTGCACTATATTATGTGAATTAGTCATTTCTATTAAAATATCATTAAATTAATGTTAAGAAATATTTGTAAAAATATGTTCAATACCTAATCTATATTGTTATAAAGATAAAGCAAGTCTCATGACCTAGAAAGGTCGGCAGGGATAAAAATTTCTATATTGTATGTTTATAGCAACTATTACATAATTTACATATCCATACTATGTTACATACATACTAAATCTAGCTTAAGAAAGTCCTAAATTTATGTAATTTTTATATCAATGTAATTTCTTAATAATGTCTTTATTCTAACACAGGGTTAATACTCTATGTTGTAGAATCAAAATAAATTAATTTTATAATTTTTAAAACTGTTTTAAATTTCATTTACTGCTAGTTGTCACTGTCATTGTCAACAAGATGGCAATTGTTATCTTTTTGCAATAATACATAGACAGTTGCCAGCAGTGCATGTTGTCAGCAGAAACCTATGGTTACATTTTGAAATGATTTTCATATTTGAAAATTTACTTTCAAATAGAAAATTTTTGTTACTAGTTTGCCATTTTGATACTAGGTTTGTACCTACAAGAGGTACAATGGAGGTTTCAAGAAAATACAGGAGTTAACATTTAAAAAACATTGGAAATTTTCGGGGAATAAGATTTTAAATCATACTTAGAAGTCTACGATTAAATTACTAGATAATTGTTATATGGAGTGTTACTCTAGTACAAAAAACTATCTAAGTATTACAAAAGTACATATTAATATATATAAAGTTAATATTTATTGATATAATACTTATTTTAATGTTGGGTTTTTCTTATGTCTTAAAATATACATCTTTTATGAGTCATCTTACCACAATACAAATAAAAAAAAGTTAAAAACACATTTAGTTAAAAATAAATTTAAAATTACACTGTATAGAATTGAAATTGGATAAGCAATGCCAAGGGAACATAATTTTCTCGCTTATAGAGGTTCTCTTGCTCTCTAACCCAAGGCTATGGAGATTGTCTATCAAGACCGATCAATGACTCTCATTTATAGAGGTTTCTTGCTTATCCAGGTTTGACTGTGTCAAATTTATACTTGGTTACTTTGCAGGGAACAACATATACATATTGTTGTCTCGCTTTTATCAATGAGAATAAAAGGGATGACAATATGTGTCTAGTGTAGTCGGAGCACACAGTTAAATATATTTTTTAATTATTAATATTCTTTAAATATTTGTTTGCATTGTGGATTTATATTAAAACATATTTTTTTATATCTTTGAAAAAAAAATCTTAATATTAATATATTTATCTTGGCAGTGGAAGATCATTGTAATAGAAAGAAAACTAAATTATTTAGCATAATAAAACTGAATGAAAATTATCTAGAATAAATGAGAAAAAGTTATCAAAAAGTATTGTGAGATAATAATATATCTATGATTAATTTCACTGTATCATGGCAACATTGCTTGTTGAAATAATATGATAAAAAGTTTTTAATTTTTTTTTGTACATAAAAAATATATCAATTATGTTATTATAATGAAACTAATTAGACTAGAAATCTTATATTAAAAACTCACCTTCTTATAAGTAGCACAATCACTAAGCATGGAATAGACAAACTTTGACAGCTGTCAACATCATATTTGACAATGACACATGTCAAAATATTCAACAATATGGCTTCACTGATCACTATATTATGGGCACTGTTTGTAGCTCACACAATTTATAACTTATCTATAAACGTAGCACAGAATAAACACAAATTTGACAGGTAATTTGACCTGTCGAGTATTTATAGCTTTATCACTGATCACTGATGCTTGTCTATGGTTCACTATTGTATGAGGTCCGTAGGCCCTAGAGATGCAGGGTAGCGGTGCCCGAAGGCGGGAGGGGCTACAGCAAGGCTCGCCTCGACTCGTCCCGGTACGCTCCCGCATAACCCCTATTTCATGTTTGCCATCTGGAAACAAATATAAGATTACTGGCTATCGCATACGACTCCGTTCTCGTGGAATTGAACAAAAACTTAATTAGTAGCATATGTGTTCTTCTACACAATGTTCTACATGCAACCAAAAAATATATAAAGGAGCGCCTAGAACGCTGGAATCGGTACTTTTTTTTTATATAAGGTGGCAAACGAGCGAGCGGTCACTTGAAATCGCTTAAATAGCGAAGTTACCGTTGCCCATAGACATACGCAATTGCATATGCGTTGCCTACCTTTAATCAACGGAGGAGAGGATGCACAGAAAGAAAATATTTCCCCTTCCATGCATCCTCTCATCCGGAAAGTCCACTTCCACTTCCCATCCTTTCCTTATAAGAAAAAAGGATGGGAAGGGAAAGAGGACTAAATTAGGCCTCCGGGACACACACTCCATCAGACGAAACGCGGAATTGCTTCCACTTCACGCCTGTCTTGTGTGGTCGTGGTATTTCACCGGACGAGCCGGACCGATTCGTGCGAAGATGTTAAAGCGGGTTCTACCACTGTTGAATATATAAATATTGTTCTGTATTTGCAAAATGCAATTAAAAAAGTGCGCTGATTAACAATAGATGGCGCTACAACAAAAAGTATGCTTGCCAAAAGATGGCGCTGATACAGTGTGCTATTTAACAATAGAAGGGTGCTGTAATACAGTTACCTAGCTTTCTGCAACTCAATCTGTCCCTCGAGCGTCTTGGCGAGGTAGATGACGAAGAGCTGTGAGAGTGCACCACCGAGCGCAGCGGACGCGATCATGTATAGATTGCGCTCAGCCCACAGCCGGACAATCTCAATGCAGCCGCTCGTCCACACGCGCTTGCTTGCCTCCGCTACCTACATACAAACATATACACTAACTGTCGCCCTCGACTCCGTCCGCGAGGGTTTACAAAATAGTAGCCGCTTCTCAGACTTACTGAATGTGCATATAAAATTTCGTAAAAATCGGTCTAACCATTTCGGAGGAGTATGGTTAACATTAACATGAGAACATTATATATAAGATATTAGCTGTCGCCCGCGACTCCGTCCGCGTAATTAAAAAAATGTTAATTAGTATATGCCTATGTGTACTTCCCGGCTATATTCTACATATATGCCAAATTTCATCGAGATCCATGCAGCCGTTCTAAAAATACCTTCAAAAAACATCCATCTATCCATCCATCTGAACATTCGCATTTATAATATTAGTAAAATTAATAAAATTGTAGTGTCTGTATTTAATATTATGTATTTGCGTAGGTAATAATGAAAAATTAATCTTAAATTTTTTGTCTGTCTGTCTGAATGACATTGTTTGTTCCGGATAATCTCCGGAACAGGAGAACCGATTTCAACTGGATTTTGATGAGTAGGTAGCTGAATTACACGGGCATGTTTTAGACTACTTTTTGAAATTTTTTACTGGGGAAGTAGCAGGTTTAGTTTATATATCTTACAGGTGAATTCTGCACTCCGTAGCCGCACATGATGTTGACCAGTCCTGAGGATATGTCAGTGGCGTTGATGCAGCAGGAGAAAGGTACACCACAGCGCTCCACTGATGGGGACGAGCAGTTGAAATATTCGTTCTTTGACCAATCCATATAGCCGTCAGATGTCAGACCACAGCAATGAAACTGAAAAAAAAAAGATTTTTTTTTTAAATATTGTACTGTCATTGTGTACCGAATTATAGATAGACCTATTAACTGGAAGTGGGTTTATTTAATTACAATGTTTAACCCAAATAGGTAAAGTTGAAAGGCACTTGCTTTGGATTAAGAATTCAACAAGAATTTCAAGAAGAACACTGCGCTTTTATTTCCCACTTTATAGAATAGCTTTTTGGTGATTCGGTTCCTTATTACTTAAACTATGGAGTTTCTCCACGGTGAAATGAAAAGACAATGTAATGAACTTTAATTTCCTATCCATCTATTGTATTCTTATTATAAACAATACTCACATCACTCTGCGCAAAGTCAATAAAGTTCTGTAAATCTGGATCATCTCTGTACGCGTGCACAACTCGCTCCGTGAAGCTGAGCTCCAGCAGACCGTTCAAGCTGCGCGGGAACACGAAGCCGCACACCGCACCGCCCATCTCCACCAGGAACAGTATCAGCAGGCATAGAGAGTACTGGAAACAGAGTAAATTTAAGTATTATTTGCTATCTTAAACAAAACAGTAGGTATGGTACTTGTAAAAAAATGAGAATTGTCATCATATTATTTGTATGTTGCAGTATTGTGGGTCGGAAATTAATTTCTTTGACCCAGAACCAAATTTATAGCTTTGGAAATTCAACTTGTTTTTTGAGTATATTTACTTTTATTCTATATCTTACTAATATTATATCACCGTACCTATTTTACCCTCTTTTTATCTGCGTTAATAAATAAAACAATCAATAAACATCGTGTTAGAAATACTTACAAACTTCAACAGGCATGTATTCTCGCGCAGAGCACCAACGCATCCAGCAAAGCTGACAATGAAGACGACGCCACCGAGCAACGCGATCAGAAGACTTATGTTCAACATTAAATCGTAAATTGTGTCCAACTGGAACATATATATTTTTTTATTTATTTATAAAAACAAGGAACAATATATAACTATATAAAAGTGTGTATAAACCCATTGCGGGTTTGTCCAGACACTGGTACTACGCTATTAAATGAAACAGTAGGTTAGTTTGATTTTTTGTTTACCGCAAATTAGTGAGCTCATCGTCGTACATTGTCAAGTTAAAGATCGTAAGTCTGGAAGAACACATAGGCTACTAATTACGTTTTTTTTTAATTCCGCGCGAACGGAGTCGCGGTGACAGCTAGCATTATCATATAAAAGACCTCGATGTCTTTTATTCAAGCTTAAGAAAAAGTAAACAGCGAAATAAAAGTGAATGATGTCATACAAGTCTGTAGCATACCAAATATAGTCAAGTCGCGACTCAAAACAACTTTCCATGTTATGCAAAAACCTGCCTTGTTATTTGATAGCAACGGTCATCGACAACTGATCCACTTTTTTAATCAAATATATTATAGGATTTTTGAAAGTTTTTTTTAAATAAAACTTATTTTATAATCTTCCTGCCATTATCCTTACAAAAGGTTATATCCCTCCCTTCTTATGCATAACTGTACACAAAATATGTCTTGCTAATCTTGCTTACATTATAAATGCGAATGTTTAAATGGATGGATGGATGTTTGTTTGAAGGTATCTCCGGAACCGCTTAACAAATCACAATAAAATTTGGCACTGTATAATATAAATACATAATCTGGAAGAACATGTAAGCTACTTATTAAGTTTTTTTTAATTCCGCACAGGCATAGTCGCGGGCGACAGCTAGTACATTGTTCCATTATAAATGTTCATTCTCATTACATAAAAAATATTTCGTTGTCCATCAATAATTTTATTGTAAAATAAATTTACAATACAATATTTACTTATTACAATTCAAGCAAAAGGAAAGATAACCTACCAGGGCACTGATACTTCACATTAAAAAAATATATGATAAATATTTGGTAGCTTTTGTGGTTATCATCATCGGCTCACTATGACCCCACTGAGGGGCGTGAAGCCTACACTAATAGGGGTATCTAGGCCATTGTTCACCATGCTGATTTGTGCCGATTTTCTTCACACATATCTTTGAATTTCTTTGAAGTTATGTGCAGGTTACAACAAATATCGATGAATCAAAATTCATTCACTGTAATAACGTTGTATACACCGGATTGTGGTTATTTCAAACACACAAATATTATGTTAAAAATAAATATGTGATAACATTTGAATGCTTTGTATTGTGGACACATATAACAGGAAGTTCACTTCATTTTAATATCATTCCTATTAACATCCAAAATTAACTACCTATTCACTCTTACACCAAAGTCCGTACTTAGTATTATACTGAATGGGACTCGGGATATGTGAGTACCAAATAGCTTGAGTCCGAACATTGATAATTCTCATATTTGATCAAGTCCCAGAGCATTTTTACTATTATAAAAATAACCTAATACTTATTGTGGGTATTGAATGCTGTCACCTGTTAAAAACATTATTTTCTCTCTTTAATTGAAGACAATGAAAGGAATGACAATATCCATTACTAGCAGTTGCCAGCTACTCCATCTGCGCGCGATTAAAATAAAACTTATTTAGTAGCCTATGTGTTCTTCCAGACTATGTTCTACATCTATGTTAAATTACAGCAGTATCTATGCAGCCATTCTGGAGATACCTTTAAACAATCATCCATCCATCCATCCAAAGATTTGCATTTATAATATATATTATAAAGATATAAGATTTATTTCAGTCAAGTGTCAGTGCAATATGTGCTAGAGTTACTATAATGAGAACTCATATTGTGTGTAGTTTTTTTATCAATAACTATTATAAATTACCTTTATTAGTCCGGTTGCCTGCCATTTATCGATAAATGCATAAAGTCCTATAGCTATCATAAGTCCTCCGAATAACTGAAAAAATAAAATAAAATTAATAAAATGTAATATATAAATATTACATACACATGATATATTTGTCTGTGTGTTAGTCCACAAGCTCATATTGGTTTTGGATAATCACCAAAACATTTGGACAATTCATGACTTTTACGGGAATTTAGCTGAATAAATCACAATAAATGTTAGTTACTTAGTATTTTAAAAATGTTAGTAACTTAATTCCATACTGACAAAGTAGCAAGCAGCTAGTTGTAATGTAAATGTCATATACATAGATATATAAATATATTCATATTATTTCTTAAACATAAAGCTGTATCATTGTTTTTACCAATTAACAAGTTAATAGTAAACAAAGTATGTTATATACTGGATGGATATAGTTTCCTCAATCCTCCATAATTCAAGAGTTGTCCAATTCAAAAAGTCAATTACTAAATTATTTGTTAGTGTCAGAAGTGTAGATAGAATAAAATAAAGATTTTTAATAAGCATTTACATATGTTTTTTAATTTATCATAATGAAGTAAAAGTTTTTGTGAAAGTGATCACAAACTTGATAAATAGTCACAATGATTCTGTTATAAACATTTATATAAACTTCAATACTATGATTTAATTATCATCATCATCAGCTCACTATATGTTCCCACCGAGGGGCTCGGAGCCTACCCTAAGTTAAGGGTGATTATGCCACAGATTTAATTATACAAGCTGGATAATATGAACTATAAATAAATAATTTATATGCAACCAGTTAAAGAAATAGATAATTTCAATCCAAACCCTTAACAAAGACAAACTGCATATTATACTAAAACTTACAATATTTCTGGTGAAACTCTATATAAATAACACAATGAAAAAATGATAATATAATAACTACCATGTATAGAATTTGAAGTTTTTTTGCTAACTTAATTCTAGCTTTGAATTGAAATTAAAAATATCAGTGTGGGCTTAATGAACTTAAAGATTTACAAGGAATATGATGGTACACAAGCTACTATCTGATGATAAGTTACCGCTGCCCATAGGCATTTACAACCCAAAAAAAGTTGTAGATGTATTACCTATGGTTATAACTTTGACGAGATGACATAGAGAAAAGAATATTTACCTCTCCAATACAGGCACTTTCTTATTGTTTATTTTTATCTTTAAATACTTTTATTTAACTTTGTATTATGTCACCTCCCTTTTTTAACAAATTACAAAAGATGGCAGGCAGTATTTCACTAGATATTTATGATTACTGTAGCTCCAACAATTTGTATATCAAAAAGATTTTAACTATAAATGAAGTAATTAAATGTTAAATGAGAAGTATTTAAGAAAATTTTTCAGTGTTTGCTGCCATATTTAAAAAACTATATTCATAAATTAATAAATGGACTACAAAAAAGGTGACAGTGAATTAAGAGTAGGCGATAGTTAAGCGAACGGAAGCTTGTAAGTTTAATGACATTATTATAATGCGTACAGCGATGGTACAATATGTATGGGAATGCAAATACACTGAGAAACAATGAATCACTCCGGATCTGAACAATGGACGAGATATAACAATATGTTCATTTCAAATGAGCAACTTTGTAAAATTATTCAATTATAAAATAAGTAATAATTAAATAATTTTGTAATGAACTTACCCAAAATACGAAATTCAAAACAAAAATCATATATTTCACACATCCGCTGACATAAGTAAAATTCGGACCTCTACGCCTATGCATTTTTAACACTTATTCTATCGACACTTATAGTAAAAATATTACATATATTTTTAATTGAATAAACAAGTATATAAACTTTTAAAATCTTATATTTTCATTAAAAAAATAATAACATAAATACATGACAAAATTCGACCCCTTCTGCACACAGTAACTAACCACAAACTTCTCATCAACAGCTAGAGTTGAGTCGAGTTGCCATTGTATAATTCTATTCATAGGCAATTCAAATCGAATTTATTTAACAACTGACAACACCTTATCTTTAATGTTACTTCGAAAACACAGATGCCGCTAAATGCGACGTAAGAAATGCTATGGTCCAATTGGTATTTCCAAATAAACTTAAAGCGTACATAACCCATTACTTTTACAAAATTTGTAACGGAAAAATCCAACCTAGAATTTAAGCAAGTATTATAATTATGATTTTTTAATAAATTTTATATCATGGAACAGAAAATGTATGGAACTTTCTGCATTAAAAATGTTCGTGAAAAATATAATTACACATAAAAATGGAAAACGAAATTAATCTTCGACAATTACGTAATTATTGCGAGATAAAATATTCTTATGACGTAGTAAGAAGCAACTTTTTGTAAATATTTAAACGAATTTTTAAAATAGTTTCGTTACTAAACAATATTGTTCAAATACGCGATGTGTTCGCTTCAAGAAATAAATTTAATATTATAGTTTGAATCCCGGAGCTTTTCGTTATTACTTTCGTCAGTTTTGCGCTAGCCAAAGTCTACAAGTACGAACTCGACATACTTTTAAAATATGAAATAATAAAACTTATTTTAGATTCTTATATTAAGAAAAGCCATGCCTACAATGCATGCATCATGTAAGCCAAAGCAGTAATTGCGATGACGAAACTTTTTTACAAATAAAAATATTTACATTAATTTAACACTTTGTAAAAACTAGTGCCACTAATAAAAAATTACAACTAGAGATGCCAAAGCGCTGAACAATTTATTTTCGTAATAAATAAAGCATTCAGGTCTACGACAGAATTAGTTTTATTATTTGGACTCAATTGATTACGTGCCTCGCTTGAGATAAATATAAAAATACCAGAGCAAGCGAGAACTCACGTTCTGATAATTTATTTTAGGTACCAACATAACAGAACTATTTCAGAGAAGAAATTATAAGCTCATTATTAATTTACTGATCTATTTTTAACGTAAGACAAAATATAATTAAATTTATTTTGTAATATTTTTTTCTTATCTATAATCAATCTGATCTGATCATATCTAATCTCATCTCATCTGTATAGATGCTATGCGTTTCAAATAAAATTGTGCATGCACTCACGTCATGTTGTGACGTATTGGCTGTCAAATCTGCCAAAGTATAGAATAAATAAAACGTATTTTATGTTATCTGAATCTGTGATGAAAAAATGAAAATAACCATAGCAAATAATCTTTATGTTAAATTAAGAAATCGTTTTTTTTTTCTAGTGATTTGACGGATATAGATCTGAGTGGTCAGCCAGTTCATTCTTACAAAATGAATGACTGACATTATTCTAATGTTATTTATTGTTTCAAAGTAATTAAGGCACAATCCTTTGTTTTCATTTCAATTGTTAACGTCCCCATTTCGGAGATAAGGCGAACGATTCATCCCGAGGGAACAGTCCGAGTTTAAAGTATCGTTTAAACTCAAACTTTTGCCATTTAGACATGGAGAAAATATGAAAAAGTCATTTTATACTCAAACTTATCGTTTATCTTTGCAGTTTGAGCTTTTGAATACGAATCGAAGTGAACCCGGGTCAAATACAAGGTGAGATAAAAATTTGACGCCCAACGTGGGGCTCGAACCCACGACCCTGAGATTAAGAGTCTCATGCTCTACCGACTGAGCTAGCCGGGCTGATGGAAAATTTAGCAAAGAAGCCTTACCTTTTTAAATCTAATTAATGAAAAGTTTAATGTACAAACGAGAAGAAAGTTCATTTATTTTGTAAGAGATCTCCTCAATTGTATATTCAACCGAATCGAATCGATTTAAAGCGAGTTAGAAAATGTTTTAATCTAACAGAGCGTTAAACTAAAGTGAATTAAAGCAAAGTGAACTAAAGCGTTGCTAATTGAAGAGAATTGAACGGGATTGCATTGAATTGAGGCGAAAAACGAAAGCAAACGAACCAAATTGTTAAATCGTAATGTACATTTTGATCCGTTAATAGATTTAAAATCACTCAAAGTCGTTAATTGGGCACTTAGTGAAAATTAGACGCTACATAAAGATTTTGAGATTGGTACTTAGCTTGAGCTTAACTAGATGAGAATTCTATCACTAATATTATCAATGTAAAAGTTTGGATGTCTGTTAGAAAGTATCTCTATAACGGCTGTTTGGATCTCGCTGAAATTTGGCATAGATGTAGAACATAGTCTGAAAGCACATATAGATTACTAATTATGTTTTTCTTTAAGCTATCGCGCACGGTGTCGCGGTTGCCAGCTATTTGTACCTATATAAATTGTCTTTCTACTAAAGATCTTTAAAAATAATGTCACCATACTTTAGTGAGTGAGATTATATTTTTCACCATCTACGTTCTCGACAGATGCTGTCAGTATTTGAACAAGTAATCGAGGACATATTTTATATTCTAAATCATCATTAATGCTAGACGATCCATCAGAATTTAGAAATGTCAAAGCTGTGTCCTCAGGGATAAAATACGCTTATGAATTGTCCGGTATTAAATTATAATTTTTTTTAAAGTGACATATTTCTTTATATTTATCGATTATGATACAAGTTATTAAGTTAAAAAAAGAAACAATTAATAAATGAATTATTAAGCAATATTACTAACTTGGAGGGTTTAAGGATAGCAGGATCGTGAAGAATTTCGTATGTTTTATTTTACTATGTTTATTTTATTTTTAAACTAGATGTCGCCCGCGATTACGTCCGCGCGTAATGCTTATGTGTCCTTCCAGACTACGTTCTACATCTATGCAAAATTTCATCAAGATCTACGCAGCCGTTCATTAGATACTTTCAAACAAACATCCATCTAAACATTCGCATTTATAATATTAGTAAGATGTAATCCGTAAAGTATTGAGGAAAAAGCTATTTCTTAATTGATTTTTTTTTCGTCTTGATATTATATCAATTTAAATGTCAATAACTTTACTGGATTGATGGAAAAGGGTTAAGTTAGGGACAAATCTCTGGCATCAGAGGTAAATCTAGTGTCCCACGAGGACCACCCGAGCGTTATAAAAGAGCCGCTTGAACTAAAGTTTTGTCATTATGACGTTGAAGTATTTTCATAGAATACCCAAGGGAAAGCTCTATCAAATTTTTATTTCTTTTTTTGATGAACGTTTTTCAGCCAGGCCGCATATACAAGTTTGGTATTCCGTGAGACTAGTACACACGTTCGTTTTTCTGCAATCGAAATTTTTGAAACGTACATATGTGTGTCTCGGTTACTTTTTTTATTATTTCCTGTATTCAAGTTTTCAAATATGGAAAACGTATTCGAAAATCGAATACAGAGAATTCGTATGTGCAGCCAGACTTAAGTTTAAAAAAATATCAGACGTTTTAAACGACGGGAGTTAAATGTTAAATACACGGAATCATTCGCTCATACTCTTTTAATGAAAGGATTTGCAAATGCTAGTAAAAAGAGTCCATTGTTCATCCACTAATTTCTTTTCAGTAAAGCGAGGCCGAAATATGTGTTATGCGTTAAAAAAAAATTAAAAAAAATTAACTGTCTTCTTAAAAAGATACGTACTTTTAACGCGTCTTATAAATTATATTCAGTGTTTTTTAAATATATATCTTTTTTCTTTTTTTATATCATAAGGTGACAAACGAGCGAGTGGCCACCAATCGCTGAAATAATAAAAAATAAATGTTTCATAATATTAAAAAAGCTAATTTATATAAACGACGTTCCTGTGCTATATTAACATTGACATGGGAAAATAGATCGCCGAAAGCATCCTCACATCGGCAATTCGAAAGCGGAAATGACGTAGTTACAATTTCACGTAAGCTCGGATTTTGAACTCGAATCTTGCATTACCTATTGACCTATATTAATATTTGAATAAGATAGAATTTGTATATCAATTCAAAAATACATAGATTTATTAATGAAAATTAATTATACCCAGTTTTTACAATAAATTAAAGATTTTTACGTGTGTATCCATTGTCAAAAATGTGGTCATCCCTCTCATTATTTTAGACGAAGAAAACATAGACAAGAATGTTTTAGTAAATCTGTTTTGTCAGCTAAAACCGGTAAGAATATGACTTTAGTGCTATTCAAAGCTACATAAACATATAATATTTTCGTTATTATCAACAAAAGAGGATTCATACAACAGGATGTGAATAAATAGGAATTAAAAATGTATTCAGAGAGAACTTACCTATCCTTTAATTATCTAATTTCATTTTGTACTGTGACCCGTATCGACTAAACGAATCTTTTCAACCTTTCGAAATGGGGATATAAAGAAATGTTGGCACACCGGGTTTTCACGGACACGTTCAAACTTGGAAAATTTCGACGATGACGGGACGAAAGTCGATGTCAAAATGTTGTGGTTCCACTTTGAAAAGGTCTATTCAGATGTTTTTGAAAAGGATGCTTCAGTTTAGTGAAATAACGAGGTCAAGGCATTTTATTTGTATGAACAAAGTCGATAACGGATTTTTTGCGCTGTAGAAAGTTTCATTAGTAAAAATTATGTATAAAATTCTCGTGTCACAATGTTAGTTACCATACTCCTCGAAATTTTATACGTATATTTAGTAGATCTTAGAATCGGCTATATCTTACTAATATTATAAATGCGAATGTTTAAATGGAAGGATGTTTGAAGGTATCTCCGGAACAGGTCAATGGATATCGTTGAAATTTGCCATAGATGTAGAACATAGTTTGGAAGAACATATATGCTACTTATTTTTTTTTTAATTCCGCACGGACGGAGTTTCGACGACAGCTATTTAATACCTAAAATTAAAATACTAAATAAGCTTTTTGATTAATGTGGATTTAGTATCATAAACCTACCTACATTCGACATAACGACGAAATTAGTCTTGAAAATAAGATAATTTTCAATCAACTTATTACTTACTTACTCCGCTGGCGCATCGACCCAAAGTGGGTTTTGGCCTTCGACACAAGAGATCGCCAAAGTCGCCTGTCTTCAACTTATTACAGTTTATTAATTTGAATATAAAGGGATTAACTATGTATTCAGTTTATAGCGTATATCAAGCTTATTCCAAGCAAATATCCCGCGCAGCGCTCACACGAAATTGTAACGTAGCAATTTCCGCTGCAAAATGACCAGCTAGCGATTGCGATCACGGATTAATATCGTGTTTGTTTTTGCATGACATGAATGAAAAGCGGGTCATATTATTTATATGTTTGTATGAAAATGTATGACAATGCTATCATACAATTTATGATTAGTTAGAATGCTTTGGCGCGAATGTTGCTTTTTAATTACCAAGTCAAGTGTCACAATGATTAGTGAGGGGACATAAACGTCTACATTTTAGTAAGGCTAGTGTTGTGCCAGTACACCGGCACAGTGTCGGATTTGTCTTCTCTTCTATCTTCTTAACACTATGTAGTGGGCGACTTTGTAAGAACTTGGTAATTTTAAGGTTATGTGTGTTGTTCAACGAAAATGTTTTTTCAATCTTTTAAATAAAAGTTGTTTTAAATTTGGAATAGTGTCCTACAGCCCGGCTAGCTCAGTCGGTAGAGCATGAGACTCTTAATCTCAGGGTCGTGGGTTCGAGCCCCACGTTGGGCGAAAACTTTTTTTTTGTAAAATCTTAAAAACTAGTTTTGATAAACATCTCGTTGTTAGATTTCGTCCATAATTTATGTGTTTAAAGATAATTAAATATTACAAATAAGTAACAAAAACTCTTTTTACAAGACGACTTTAAATCCAAAGAATAAGTTCTTTACTATAATTGCACACAAAAAAAAATATAACACTTCTGTGATAAATTCTTGCATTCAATATAAATGCATCTTTTCAAACGACGAGTATCCTAGAATTAATGACGTCACATTTTTATAAAAGCAGAAACGCCTAGCAAGTTACATCAATGCGTCCATTGAAATATTATGAATAAATTTTATGTTCCAATGAAAAGCTTCATAAATAACTACCAGAGACTAACGATTGTCTTTGTTAGTTGTTAGGCTGAATCTTACTAATATTATAAATGTTAATGTTTAGATGGATGGATGTTTGAAGGTATCTCTAGAACGAACTAAACCGATCTCGATGAAATTTGGCATACATATTGGTAGGAAGTAGATCCGACACTATGCCGGTTTATCAGCGCAACACTAGTCTTAGTAAAATGTCAACGTATATGTCACTCACTAATCAATCTGACACTTGACTTTGTAACATAAGTGCGCCATTAGCGCTAAAGCATTCTAACTAATAATGTCAAAAAATATAGAACATTGTCTGGAAGAACACATAGACTACTAATTATGTCTTTTTTTTAATTCCGTGCGGACTGAGTCGCAGGTGACAACTAGTGCTTTAATAAATAAATGACATATTACTTATATAAACAAGGTTACATTAGACATTTAATTAGTTTCTTGTGTATGTGTCGTGTATTTAATATAATACGTATACTTGTTTACTTTAGGAGATCGCTTGCTTAGTAATGTTCCATTATCGATGTAATTCTGAGATTAAAATCAATCAACCAAATGTTTACTACATAATATACACTCGTGTATGTACACAGTTTAAATATAACTTTCATATTTATCATAAGTAAATAGCAATCAAACTATATAAATATGTGTATAATACGACAAACTTTTTGGACCGTTGGGCAAATGTTTAAATCAAAAATTATAACTGCTCTCTGTCGGATTAATAACGCGACGCTTACATTTGGACCAATGGGTTGTGATTCTATGGAATGAATCGGTCCAATGGTAAAAAATCCTATCGGTCCAACGGGAAACACCTGTCTTATATTTTCTTGACAAAAACTATCGAGATAGAGCACCTTTCACGTAACCAGATTAGTTATTCTGATTGTAATTATATTTTTAATAATTAAATATTCTGAAGTTATAAAATTCGGTTTTGACTGATGTGACTCTTGCATTCATACATATTGTTGTCTCTATCTTTTAAAGGAGATTGTAAGAGATGAATATATTTGCCCATACCAATATATTTACCATGGGAACGTACAGCAATATTCGTTAGCTTTCTGCAATGTACCATGTAATTAATCGGCCGCCGAGATATCGGATTAAGCGATTAAAGTTAAGTTATTTTAAGTTAACATTACATAATGTTATTGTTTCGTTTAAGCTACACAGTTATTATATTTCTTGTAACTAAAAGTGAGTTTAATAATTTCATTGTTTTGAAGTAATATAAAGAAATTATTGGCAAAGGTTTTGTGAAGTACTGCCGAATTTGGCTTAATTTATTGGTCAAAAAGATGAGTCAATGGCAAAAAATAAAGCAAAATTAGCAAAGAAAAAAAAGCCGAGTTACGGGGCAACAAACATATTAAAAAAATACGAACGAGAACCTCCTTCTTTTTGAAGTCGGCTAAAAAATAACAACAAATAATATTTTTAAAAAGTTTAATTCTATTTTTATTTATTTATAGATATACATTGTCAACGAAGAATCATTAAGGGTGAAAAATTGGAGAAATTAAAGAATTATTTGGTAACAATTTAATTTGTATTTTTTATAATATTCTAACAAAATGACATGATTATTTCCTACATGATTGGCTCAAAATAATTTGGATTGATTAATTTTAACCAATGATATTTTTATTAAAATCTAATTGACCAATTGTCTCTCTACAAACATTCTCTCCTGATTGGTTAATTGGTATTGCATTGTAGAGACGCGGCCCAGAATACAATTTTAGGCGTAGCGAAGGCGTGAAGGGATTGCCGGAGGGCACTGCGCAACGCTCAGATGAGCATCTTACATGACCCTAAACTTATCCTACTATCGATTTCGATAGCATAAGTTCAAGCATGTTTTTATTTAAAACTTTGCACTTATATGTAAATTTTGTTTAGACATATTATGATATGATAATTTAATCACTTTGATTGTAAAATTTCAGGTATATTTTATACATTCGGATCAATCGACGACAAGATACAATGGCTGGACTTGCGCCGGCGCTCTGGTACATTCACTATATGTAGTTACAGCAGCAGCTTGTTTAGAGGATGTTACTAATCTTTATGCTATGGCTGGATACGCGAAATGGGTGCCGTACGAAGATATTGACGTCAATAAATGCACTTCTAACGTAAAAACTCAAAAAAAGAAAGTCGTCTACACTTGTATTCCGAAATGTAAGTTCCAATGTGTTGTAAGGATGCTTACAAGCAATCTTATTATTATTATAAATGCGAATGTTTAGATGGATGGATGTTTGTTTGAAGGTAGTTTTAAAACGGCTCAACAGATCACGATGAAATTTGGCATAAACATAGAACATAGTCTTCAAGAACATATAGGCTACAAATTATGTTCTTTTTTAATTCCGCGCGGACGGAGTTGTGGGCGATAGCTAGTTGAATTATAAAATTAAGAATTACATTATTTGTTAAGTAAAAAAGTCAACTGACCTTCTGTCCTTAAGACAGTCAAGGCTTGCTCGCCTGGTGCAACACCACGACCATACAGAAAACGGGCGTGAAGTGGAAGTCATTCCGAGTTTTGTCTAATTAGTATGTCTGTCGGTGGCCTAATTTTAGTCTAATTAAAAGGCGGTGGGATCGGAAAGTGGAGTGTGGGACGCATAGGAAGGTGAAATATCTTTTTTCTGTGTATCTCGTCCGTCTATTAACGGATCGGCAATTACGGATGTCTACAACGCTACCCGTTCGCTTCGTCATTTCAGAGAGTTAAGGCCGCTTTCAGCCTTATAATATAAGAAAAGGAAAAATGTGTCAGTCTGGTATATCGATTTTATAAAATCGATAACCAATTAATCGATGTTATTTTTTAGCTTATGAACTGGACTATGCTAACGTGGAAAAGTGGTCATCAATTGACATAGGAGTTGCGAAAGTTGAAAATCGATTTTGGCAACATAATGACTATGAAAAATTTTGTACTATCAAACCATTGAGAATACCGATTAATTTCAACTCCGCGTATCAATCCCCGGGCATCGACGCAATAGTTGCGGGCTGGGGACATCTCGAAACTTGGAGGAAAGTAAGACTGTTTTACGTAATTTTGTCAAATATATTATTGTTAATACGTGTAGAGAACAATACATAAAGTACCTGGAAGTAGCTTTGCTCGGTATTTTTTTTTTAAATTGTGTTTTTTGGAAATTATATTATATTTAAGTACGAATTACTAATAAAATGATGAAATATGAATAATATTTTTCGATGTTACCGATAGAAAAAGTTAATTTTTTGTTTAAGTTGATTATCGATAAAACACGAATAAAATGACATTTTCTAAAAATGATTCCTAGCTAGATCTATCTAGCCCCCGAAACCCCTTATATACTAAATTTTATGAAAACCGTTGGAGCCGATTCCGAGATTCCAATTATATATATACAAGAATCGCTCATTTAAAGATATAAGATTAGAAAAATTATCCGATTATTTTAAACAATTTTATAAACCGACAGTATTATTATATTGGAAATAATCGTTGAAGTACTTTTGTCTAGATCAAGTCAAAATATTAATTATTAATACATTACAATAAAGATAAAATTTATTACGCTCCCTATTTTGAAAGGCAGTCGCGGCCATATTGGAAGTGGATAGAAAGTGTCGATATCGCTTTTCACTCAGTGGAATAATGGTCTAAATAATATATTTAAATTACTTAATTTACAGCCAGGGGATCAAAAAATATATATTCAAGAATTTCCGCGATACGCATCAGTGCGTATAATGAACAAGAAGAAATGCAAAGAGTATTATAAAGATTATCCCGAACTACAAAAAACCATAGACAAACATATGATATGCACTATGGAGAGCGGGAACGTTAACGCTGCCGGTGTCGTCAACTGGTCGCATCCAGAATTTAAAGATCAATGTACAGAGGATGTAAGTTTTGGATTTTTTTTTATAATTTTTAATAAACAAAAGAAACTCTCGACTCAAACTTAAAATTCGTTTTGACGCTAAAAGATTTGATATGATTTAAATTGAACTAGCGGTCGCGTTCGAATTCGTCCGCGCGGGATTTAAAAAGAACGTAATTAATAGGCTAGGTGTTTTTCCAGACTATGTTCTATATGTATGCCAAAATTTCATCGAGATCCTTTCAGCCGTTCTGGAGATACCTTCTGTATTTTTGTATTACTCCACAACAAGTTAATCAAGTCGATAAATGCTTTTGTAATTATTTTCCTTTTTACAATCAAAACGTTTTCAAACAATGCTGCAATTGCTAAAGTTATGTTGTAACCTTGTTATGAATGTTTATTTCAGGGTCAAAATTGTCGAAGAAATTTCAGTGAAAGTCCTCATTGGAACATATCAAGTGTAAACGGTCGAAGACAAGGGATTTGTCAAGTAGGCATAGTTTATAACTTCTTATCGTGAATTCCACTGTCTTAATATCCGTATAAAAATATTTTGCTGTCTCAGTTTGTTACAATGAGAATGAAAGGGATGCCAATGTTTTAGTAAAAGTTATCCTGACGTAAAATAAAAATTAATTTGTAACGTAAATGTGATATCAAAATAAATGTCCGAAGTCACAGCCCGGCTAGCTCAGTCGGTAGAGCATGAGACTCTTAATCTCAGGGTCGTGGGTTCGAGCCCCACGTTGGGCGTTACCTTTTTGTTTGAAATTTATTTTTTGTTTTCAACTAATAATTTGCAGCTTTTATATTCAGCTAGTAACAACAGCAGCATGTAGAGTCTTTGCTCTATGTGTATAGTAAATATTTAAGAATTAACGGCTCTATCAATTTTTAAATGAAGGTTATCATTTGATTCATAGTCTACACCGGACTGTCAAAGGATGATAGGATACAAAGATTTTTTTTAAATTTGGATTTTGTCAACCACTGGATCGGTAAGGGTTGGTTGACTACGCAAATATATTTGAATTGCTTCACTGATGTGTGAATCTAAATTCGAACTTTTTTGCGGTCAGTCGTTTAACAACTGCACCAGGGCACGCGTTGACGTAATTGTGTGCGTGTGTTGTTTTTATTTATTTTAATTTTGTTTGTTATATTTAGAATGATCACGGTGCACCGCTGACTACGTGGATTGGTGGCAAAGAACATCTCATCGGTGTCGCGTCTGTATTCCGAGTTAATCAAGAAGGCAAATGCGCAGGGCCGTATCTATTCACAAGTACACAGTGCAATGGAGTTTTCTTGGACTGTGTACTTGAGGAACATTTGTATAAGTAAGGCCTAATCTGAAGACTTATTTTTTTTATTATAATATTTTGCAGTCCATCGGCATAAGTCACTTTGTTATGCGAAATCAAAACTTTTAATATATAAAAAATATGGCAGTTTGAAACCGGCCGGGTAAGGACAAACTATATATAAAATCGTTCATAATGTCATTTCATTAGTGTCAAAAAAGAGAAACAAAATCCTTGCCGTACTAATGGTTTTGCGAAATAGCTAGTGACCTTTGCACATAGTCCTGCAATTGCAGACGCTTTGCGTACCGCAGCCGACAGAGGAGGGGACGCACAGAAATATATATTATAGATAGAGAATATTTTATAGAGAATTCCCTTCCTCCGCAAATTTACTTTCTCATCCTTTTCTTGTAAGAAAAGTGACTTCATCTTGACGCGTGTCTTTCGTGTGTTCGTGGCATTGCACAGGTCGGGCTGGCCCATTTATCCTTCAGGTGTTATTGCTGGCGTCTACCACTGTTAAAAATTGTATTATTCCTCTGGGTTACAGAGATGTACACGACCATTCACGAAGAAGATCCATATGTCACCTGCCAGCAAGAGAGCGAGGTTTCGAAATGATACATAAACATATAAATTGGATAAATCATACATATATAAAAAGGTAATTGTAGTAGCGGTAGCAGGGCGCTTGAGTTGGCACGTCTGCCACAGCCGTTCCATTGTTCCAGACGTGCCAAATAAAATTTGCTCTTGTTATAAATGCGAATCTTTGAATAGATGGACTTTTGTTACAAGGTATTTTCAAAACGACTGCATAGATCTGGATGAAATTTAGCATAGATGTAGAACAAAGTCTAAAAAGGCTACTAAATATGTTTTTTTTATTTCACGTAGATCTTGCCGTGGGTGACAGCTAGTGTTACTATAAAAACTTAACAAGGCTTTATTTAAGTGATTTATATGAGTTCAAGCAATAGAAGAATTATAGGTATAACATTGATAATATTACTTTATTAAAATATTATTATGATGTAAATTTTATTTACAGAAAATCAAGAAAAGGACGCAGACAAAAATTCAAACGAGTCACAAAACAAAACATACAAAGGACAACAAAAAAGTAAGTAAATTAAGGTGGAGGGAGAATATTTTAATTGTGTTCAAATAATGAAATTAGTTAAAATATTGTTTTTTTCAGACCAATTCTCACCGAACTCAAAGTACGAATAAGACCTCAAATATCTATTAGAAACTTTAACCTAAATCAAACAACTTTGACTAGATATAAACATATTTAAATATTTTGTTTCATAAATTATTAATTTATATTTTTTATTTTGTTAAATAAAATAAATAAATTAATACGTTATTAATTTTTTTTTTTATAAATTTGCCTGTAATCTTTTCCTAATTTCAATTAGCTTTCTGCTATTCACAGAGTCGTGGTTACTATAGCATTTGTTCATTGCAATTGACACATAATAAAAGAATATTAAAAAGAAAACTACCCCACGACAATCTTATACAGGGGGCTACTAAATCATTATAATTTAGTTTAGATTTTGCCTACCGGGTCAGATAAGTATCCCGGACTATATTTCGTTGCTCAGTTACAAAACTTAAAAAAAAATAAGTATTTAATTTCCAAGTATTTTATCGAAAGAACAAATCCTAAGGATTACATTTCTCTTGTACAATTTATACAGGGGGATGGAAATTTACGACAGCTTTTAAGAGTTGTAGCTTTGTTTACACGTTGGGCTTTGGAATGGGATTTGAATCGTTTATCCCTCTAAAGGCATGTTTCCACTGTGCCTGATTGTGCGGCTGGTGGAAACATTTTCAAACAGCCTAATACGAATATTATTTTCACTATATTGTATTTAAGGAGCGTCGGTGGCTCAAGGGTCAAGTACTTGATAATACTATAGATGAATAATTTTCATCTTTGAAACCATGATTTGTCTAAAATCGTTAAATTGTTATTATGTTTTGCTTATTGATATTTTAAATGATGCGAGAAATTACAAAGATTGGTTAATTTTTACCTAACAAACGACATAGTTAAATATGTGAGCGTAGTATGTTAATTTATTTTAATTTGAAGTATATTTGAATATTATGGGATTGCATCGATTTTTTTATATGCTACTTATAATTATTGTAATAAAAAGTAAGTCTATTAAAATAAATTTGCTCACTAATGATGAATTATGTATCGGATTCAATGAAAATGATCTGAAACAGGTTATGTCGATACTTTGAACCAGTTTAACCCGGCATAAATTGCGATGTCAAATTCAAAATATCTTACTAATATTAAAAATGCAAATGTTTAGATGGCTTCATCCATCTTGATGGAATTTGGCACAGATGAAGAACATAGTCTGGAAGAACACATAGGCTACTCATTAAGTTTGTTTTTAATTCCGCGCGGACGCGAGTCGCATGCGTCGTATGCTATTAAAATAAATTCCAGCTTGATACCTTTACGCGTTTTTGAGAAAAAGGGTCTTGACAGACAGACGGACGGACGACAAAGTGATCCAGAAGGGTTCCGTTTTTTTCTTATGAGGTACGGAACCCTAAAAATAACGTAGAAAGTTTCTTCAAAAACAAGGTTGGAATTAAAAGAATCAATATTACTACTAATAAATTAAATTAATAATACTACTTAAGTTAGGACAAGAAGATTGAAGAAACACCACTCAGATTTAATTATTTCAACAATTTCTGTTAATTGTAGATTCATATTCTCAAAGGAGAATACGAAATGGAAAACCGTTGGGCGGTAAACCGAAGACATATGCGGTAAGTATATTTTTATCTACATTTTATTTTATACTAGCTGTTGCCCGCGTCTCCGTACACGCGGAATTAAAAACAAACTTAATAAGTTGTATATGTGTTCTTCAAGACTTTGTTCTATATGTATGCCAATTTTCATCGAGATCTGTTCAGCCGTTTTAGAGTAACAGTGGTAGAGCCCGCCTTAACAACTTCGCACGAATTGTCCCGGCTCGCCCGGTGAAATACCACGACCGCACAGAAGACAGGAGGTCAAGTGGAAGCAATTCCGCGTTTCTTCTGAACAGTGTGCGTCCCGGAGGCCTAATTTAGTCCTCTTTCCCTTCCCACCCTTTTTTTTATAAGGAAATGATGGGAAGTGTAAGTGGACTTTTCGGATGAGAGGATGCATGGGAAGGGAAAATATTTTCTTTCTGTGCATCCTCTCCTCCGTCGATTTAAGGTAGGGAACGCATATGCAATTGCGTATGTCAATGGGCATCTGTCACTTCGCTATTTCAGCGATTTCAAGTGACCGCTCACTCGTTTGCCACCTTATGATATAAAAAAAGAGATGCATGCAAATAAACGATGTTTGTTAGAAGGTATTCTAGAACGGCTGTATGTAGAAAATAGTCTAGAAGAACATGTAGGTTTTTTATAATGCTAATGCAAATTTGCAAATGTAAAGAGCGTCGGTGGCTCAGGGGTCAAGCACTCGACTTGCAATCTGCAGGTCCTGGGTTCGAATCCCGCCATGTACCAATGTGTTTTTCGATTTCCGATTTACATATGTACATTTATCCGACGTTCTTACGGTGATGGAAAACATCGTGATGCAACCAGCACATATCTGAGAAGAAATTCAAAGATATGTGTGAAGTCAACCAACCCGCACTTGGCCAGCGTGGTTGACTATAGCCTAATCACCCTTAACTTAGGGTAGGCTCCGAGCCCCTCGGTGGGGACGTATAGTGAGCTGATGATGATGATTGCAAATTTATAGGTATATTTAGTCCGATCTGAGAAGTCCACCGTTAAATATACAGACTGGGTGTGTGGGGGTGCCCTTGTTAGTAAACTATTTATCGTAACCGCCGCCGCGTGCTTGGAAGATGTTGACTATATATACGCTGTTGGTGGTGTCAAAGATGTTGTTGAATTTAAAGACCTTGGTACTCACACATGTACGAAATGGTATAAAAGAAAAGTAGTATACACATGTGTGCCGAGAGGTATGTTTTTTAAGCAAAGATTAAACTATCCTTTACCACTATCCTATTTTTTTAATTATATAAACAAGGAACAATATATTAATTTACAATAAAAGTGTCTACAAACCAAATGCGGGTTTGTTCAGACACTTTGGTTTTTGGCAATTGATGCTAACTGTGCGTTTCTGAGTCCAAAACCTCAATTTAAAACATTTATCTGTGTAAAGACATTTTGGTATCAGAAACCCACGGTAAATGGTGTATATTAATCGCTACGCGCTAGTTAAGTGCTTACTACTAATTAAGGGCTTCATAACATTGTAAGTTTCATGTTTTTTGTCTGTAAGGAAACATTTCCGAGAGAGGAAATACTGCCCCCCAAACTTGAGATATCGGTAGCCCAGTTTGACTTCGATTCTATTCTATCGTGGTTATGACAACGATTTAATTTAATTTAGTTATAACCAAAACTATGAAAGTGATGAGCAACAGTCGTATTTTAAGGTTCCAAATGTTTAATTGTATTTGTATTTCAGCTTACGAATTTGACTACGCTAATATTGAGAAGTGGTCAGCTATCGACATAGGCATAGCGAAAATCGATAGTGAGTTTGCATTTGAAAAAGGTTATTGTGACTACGACCCAGCGCCTATTCCTATAAATTACGATCCTAAATTTCAAGAACCTGGTACTGATGCAATAGTTATAGGTTGGGGACATAGTGAGATATGGAAACAAGTAAGTTGATGTATTTAACTTTGGTGAGATATTATCATAAACTTATATAAAAACGGCCAAACACGCACATACATTCGTCCGGTTGCGGCACCGACTAGTTTCGAGCCCATCAGTCAAATTTGAACAACAACACCCTCGACGCTTTGTTATCAATATCGTCGAAAACGCCGACGCACCCCGGGCCCCAGATCCTCAAGACCCGCCCTAAGAGCGTTGGTGCGCAGTGGCCCCGTCCGCGTATTAATACCAGTCCCACTCACCCTGATGAAGGGCCAACAATGGGCTCGAAACTAGTCGGTGCTGCAACCGGACGAACGTAAGTGAGTGGCCGTATTTATATAAGTTTACTAAATGTTATTCTTTGAAGCTATTTAACTTACCTTACCTATTTCATCTAGCGATTAGTGAAAATATTTTATGGCTATAGTATTTTACTTATATGAAGCGACGGTGACTCAGGTGATAAGCACTTGACTTGCAATCTGCAGGTCCTGGGTTCAAATCCCGCCATGTACCAATTTGTTTTTCAATTTGCGATTTACATATGTACTACATTTATCCAAAGTTCTTACGACGAAGGACAACATCGTGATGCAACCTGCTCATATCTAAGCACTGGGCCAGCGTGGTTGACTATGGCCTAGTCACTCCTGTTATAGGGTAGGCTCCGACCCCGTCAGTGTGAATTTTACTTGCCTTATTTTATTATTATAATAAAATATATATGTAGTGTTACTAAATAAACTTTATTATTACCTGGGATTTCTGAGAACAAAATTCTCGTTTAAAACGTATTGTTATCTCTCTCTTTTATACAGAGATTTTGGTATCAGAAATCCACGGTAAGTATCACAATCAAGGACAAGTTCAATATAAGTTCAGTAATTATAATAAGTATTTAAATATTATATTACCAAGGAATTAATAAAAGTAATCAAAGTTAAAATGATTAAAATTTCAAGCCGGGCGATGATGAACGCTTGTTGCAAAGAGAACCTCATTATGCATCGGTTTCCATTACAAATAAAAAGAAATGCAAAGAAGGATACAGTGACATACCAGAGTTACAAGATATTATAGAGAAATATATGATATGTACAATTGGAGCGGGAAATCTGGATAACCAAGGTAATATTATGACCACATTGAAACCAGAGTCCGAAGGATGTCCGCAAAGTAATTCGAAGGTACATCGCTTTTTTCATTCATAAAATAGACATAATAGCTTTACTAAAATACAGCGTTTAAATTCGAATTACTAAGTATTTTTACATATATATATACATTAAATCACATTACATTATGTACATATCTGAGTAGAAATTCAAAGATATGTGTGAAGTCAACCAACCCACACTTGGCCAGCTTGGTTGACTATGGCCTAATCACCCTTAACTTAGGGTAGGTTCCGAGCCCTTAGGTGGGGATGTATAGTGAGCTGATGATGATAAAAAAATAACATTAAAATAAGATTATTTAGAACTAACTGTCGACAGCGACTGCGTCTGCGAGGAATTAAGTTATTAAATTAAATAGAAATCCTTGAATAATTTATTACTTTAGAAGTTACTAAATATTTGAATATCTTGTCTGTTACGGTATTTTTGTAGCTGACTGTACAATGGCGGCTCTAAGCGTAAGTAGTAAAAATATTGTTACATACAGGGCGAATGTCGAAGAAGTTTAAATGGTAACATAACTTTGGACTCTGTTGCTGACCATGTGCCGACTAGGAGACATGGCATTTGTCAGGTAAGTTCTTTTTAATAAAACAAATGAGAAATATAGTCAAAAATTAGTGTAACTTAAATAATGTACAAAAATCTTAGTGACATTATAAATGTGAAAGTTTAGATGGATGGATGGATGGATGGATGTTTGTTTGAATGTATCTCCAGTACAACTCAACGGATCTTGATGAAATTTGGCATAGATGTAAAAGATAGTTTGGAAGAACACATAGGCTACTTATTAGGTTTTTTTAATTCCGCACGGAAGGAGTCACGGGCAACAGCTAGTGTTATATAAATATAATTATACTAGATAGATGGATTAATAAGAGATACAAGGGTGTGCCGAGTGATAGACGAATTCGGCGGACGAAATACTGTTATTCTGACCTTAAATTAAGTACTATCACGGATGAAAATTTTAGTGCTGTTTATCTAATAACTTTTCTTAGAACGACCACGGTGGTCCGTTGGTGACATGGATCGGTGGTAGAGAGTACCTCATCGGTGTTGCGTCCGTATTCCGGGTGAATAATGAATCTAAATGCGAAGGACCATATTTATTCACAAGTACACAATGCAACGGAGCCTTTTTAAATTGCATTCTTAATCCAGAGAAGAAATCAAGGTAACCAATATTATTTTATTTCATTTAACCATGGGTTTACACTGTCATATTCTTGTTTTCAGACGTGCTAACTCCATTTGTGACATGCCAGCAAAGGAGCGAGGTTTTGAAATGATACATAGACATATATCGTGGACTAATCATCCAGATGGGTAAGCATTGTTAAGTATCAAGACATTACAACATACGGTACAGCCGTGAATTCCACTATCTTTTTTTAATATTATAAAGTGTTTAATGAGTCTGTAAGCACCTTAATTAGCCAAAATAGCGAAGCGACCGCTATCTGTATTGCCAACATTTAATTAAAAGAGGAACGAACATGAAGAAGATATATTCCTATGCATCCTTTCCTCTGCCAAATCCACTTCCCCTTTCATTTCCGTAGGAAAAGGTGGGAAAGGAACGTGGATTATAATAAGGCTGTGGCACTTGTATTCTGTTCTAAATATTTTTTTGCAGGCCGGCTGAAAATGAAAAAGTAAATTACAGGCCACTTATACCATTAAGGAGTTTTCATAAAAACAGAAAAAGATCGAAAAATTACGGAACATGATTCATTTGTATAAAATAATTTTGATAAAGAAGTGTAGTTTTCTTTTTAAAAATTTCTATTGTAAAAGTTATTACTTACTGTGAATTTTAATCGTATTTACACATGTTTAAGAATATTGCTGTCTCTATCTCTTCTTTCATAGAAAATGAAAGGCATTATTACACAGTAAAAAGTTGTTAGCACAGTAAAGATCTCAACATTATGTTTAGACTCCGTATAGTTAATTGAAAATTACAACACAATTTTAATTATGTTCCAATATAAGGATGTTTTTGTTGTTATATATTTTATTTGTTATGTAAATATAAAATATGAATGAAAAACATCGTACCGTCAAAGCTATGTTCCAACGAAATGTGTTAGAACGTCCCTTGTCAAAAAAGTTCTTGTCTTCCGCTTCTGAGATTTTGATGACGGTCAAAATCTAATTTGTCACGGCAAACAGTTAAATTCAATTTAAATGGAATAGGTTTACTTTAATCCAAGCTTTTTAAATGGTTTACATTATCATCTAAAATCTAAATTGTAAGTAATATATAGTGACAAACAAGTAAAAGGCCACCTGATTACGCTAAGATAATAAAGGGATTCCTGTCTATAGACAGATGCTCTGCGTACTTTTAGCAGATGTACAGAAAAAGGATATTTCCCTTTCCATTATAAGACATCCTTCGCGAAATATACTTCCAAACCTTTCCTTAAAAGGACAAGCAAATATCTCTTAAGTCACTATGAAAATAAAAGTGGCCATAATTATGCAATCAACCTATCCAAAAAAAAACGTTCGATTTAAAGATTATTGCATAATTATTTTAATAATTTTCTTTGTATTAAAACCTATTATTACAGTTAAAAAGTGATGTGTAATTTTAGTTAGCTTTCTAACTACGATGACGTGACGTCAGAATATTTTTTTTTCTTTACCTTTACTAATCTCGCAGCCATCGGTAGTAAGTTTAAAGGCAGATATTTAAATTTCAATATCTTTGTTAAAAAGCAGAGGAAAAAATACTTTTACAAGGAAACTTGATATGATACATAGATCTACGACGTAAAAAAACTGAAAGGTCATTTAGGAAAATTAAAAAAAATGTAATAAAAAAAATATAATAAAAATCTATGTTGTTATTTATTGGTTTCATATAAATTATGTAAAGGCATAAGTGGCCTGTATTTTATTTTTTCATTCAGAACCGGCCTAAAAAAAACAAAGAAAAATACTCAATAACTCACAATTATATAACGTAAACAATTTTATTTCGTATCCATTTTTTAACATTTCGTATCGTCGTAATCCTTACCCGTGTGGTTGATGGGCCCATGATATATATTTATGTATCATTTCAAAACCACGTTTCCTTGGTGGCTGGTCGCAAATGGAGTTAGCACGTCTGAAATAATCAATAATATAAAATTAGCTATGTACAGTCACTGTCATTCGCAGTGTTCCAATTAACTAAAAGTTGCTTTGCATCTAGTAAGTAAATTAAACTACGCTTTTCGTGAAAAATCAAAACAGTTGAGCATTATTGATCAAATTAGAAAGATTGTAAAACGACGATTATAATCATCAATGAATGGCTTACCTTGTATCGTTAGCGTTAAGAACACAGTGTAAAAATGCTCCATTGCATTGTGTACTCGTGAATAAATATGGTCCTTCGCATTTAGATTCATTATTCACCCGGAATACGGACGCAACACCGATAAGGTACTCTTTGCCACCAATCCATGTGACAAGCGGTCCTCCGTGATCGTTCTAACAAAAATATTATGAGAAATAATATAATTAAGCTTTCTTAAAATATGCATATATGTTAGCTGATGATTAAATTTAATTGCTGTGATTATATATCACTGACAAATGTTGTTTTTGTTTTCCTAAACAAAATGAGTGACATGATAATATCTTAACAGTGGTAGAGCCCGCTTTACATTGCGTTTAACATCTTTGTACGAATTGGCCCGGCTCGGCCGGTGAAATACCACGACTACACAGAAGACAGGCGTCTAGTGGAAGCGATTCCGCGTTTCGTCTGATGAGTGTGCGTCCCGGAGGCCTTACTTAGTCCTCTTTCCCTTCCCACCCTTTTTGATGATTTCATGCTTGGGAAGCGAAAATATTTTCTTTCTGTGCATCCTCTCCTCCGTCGATTAAAGGTAGGCAACGCATATGCAATTGCGTTTGTCTATGGGTAACGGTCACTTCGCTATTTCAGCGATTTCAGGCGGCCGCTCGCTCGTTTGCCTCTTTATGATATAAAAAAAATATGTTTTTGTGAAACATATGATAGCGAAAAGTCACCTGACATATTCCTTGCCTCCGAATCCAATCAATATTCGTGGTATTAATAGATAGCGATTCATTCATTTTCTCCATATTTCTTCGGCAATTCTCGTTCTGTAAATAACATTAACATCGACTTGTGTTTAAACTGAGGACAATTTGTTTTGGTATTTTGTACGTAGTAAATATTTCATGTTTAAGCAAATCCAGTGTAATTCTAATTCATAGAAATTCTTCTTAAGATATATGTGTTTTCCGTTATTACACTTTAGAATTTCGACTTTTAATACTCTACCTCAGAATTGGTGCACCCTTCAGCATCCGGTTTGATTGTAGCTATAATGTTACCTCCGCTGTCGAGATTTCCCTTTCCGTGAGTACAAATCATATATTTATCTATCACTTCTTGTAAATCTGGAATATCTTTGTAACCCTCTTTGCATTTTTTCTTGTTTATAATCGATACTGGTGCGTAATCAAGATTCTTTTGTACCATACGTGTATCGTCTCCCGGCTTAAAATAATCCATTCATGTTTACAATACCATGAGTTTTCACTGCCAAGGCACCTGTACAAAAACATATTATCTCTATTTTTCAAAGACAATAAGATTATGATAATATGTTTTTGTTAGTCGTTTTGGCAGTAGAAATGCACGGTTAGTGTATTTATTTTACTTATATCTAATTCTTTAAAGTGCTTTTTTAATTATTATATCTGAATTTTGACTATTGAATGCGTAATGAATTCATAATCCATCACCTTATTAATTCTTAATTATCTTTGGTATAAATATATACATATACTTATAACAATTCATTGAGATCTTTTTATATTATTGCTATGTTATTAACACCATAAGTTAAAATACTCAACGCACTCGTTTCCATATTGATTTATGTCCCCAGCCCAATACAATTGCATCGACACCCGCTGCTTGATATTTAGGATCATAATTAATGCCTATAGACTGCGGTCTGAATGAACAAGCACCCTTGTCAAAATTAAATTCAGAATCAACTTTCGCTACGCCTATATCGATAGCTGACCATTTCTCGACATTAGCGTAATTAAACTCATAAGCTGAAACACAAAATTGACGGTATTTATATTAATATAACTGGTGAAAGTAAACTCTAAAATTACGATCTATTTTCTACTAAGCACTACTCCTACTATTACTAATACAGTCGCGATCATTGGCGGTATTCCACCTCATAAGCGACAATCGTTTAAATGCTAATCAATGTTTATATTGTATTTAATACTTCACAATACAGAGTTTCAATTGATTATATTAGTAACAAATATTATTAATTTGTAAGAAGCACGTTAAGTGCTAGATGGCTAAACATTTTTTTGGTTACTGGAACACCGCGAACGCAGTCGACTGTACTTAAAAATGTATCATTATTTGCTCGTTTTACTCGTAGTTCATCACGCGTGGCTTAATAATTAGTGCAAAAATACTTATTGTTAATCGTACCTTTAGGTACACATGTATATACGACTTTCCTCTTATAATTCTTTGTGCATAGGTCTGTATTAATATTTTCGTATTCAACCAAAACAGTATATCCGGCGACAGCGTATAGATATTGCACGTCTTCTAAGCATGCGGCGGCGGTTACTATATAGAGTTTGGAGACGAGCGCACCCGCGCACACCCAATCCGTATATTGAACTGAAGACTTATCAGACTTCATAAAATATACCTGAAATCATTCATTTATCTATCTACTATCGAGGATTATGGCGGTATTCAAATATTAATGTGTGAGTCATTTGAATTTCGAAAGCATTGAGACGACGACGCGCAAACAATAAACAATCGGAAGCAACTTTTAAAAGTGTCTATACGAAAAAAAGTTGCCATTGGTACAAGATTAATTGCTTTTTACTATTATCCCGCGCAGGTACTACAAGAGGAATTTGTTTCGTAACAATTAACATGACAATTTTTCCGTAAGTAGAACACCGCGAAGAACCCTGACTGTACTAAAAGACGAACGGATTCATATTCCAGAGAGAATTACCACAGTATAAAAAGCTATTTTAATCTTGTAATATAAAAAATTACCATATATTTCTTTTCTTGTTTGTCTACCGGTATACCATCACGGATCTTCCTAAGAGACCAAGAACCTAAAATAAACACTAATTGTTTAAAAAATGACGATCATCATACCGATTAATTACATGGCATCGCTAGTTAAGCCGGTTCCTTACGTTTGGCAAACAGGGAACGCCAAATAACAAATATGAACGTTAGGATAGGTGAACGTTGTTTGTGCCAGGGATCTACGTTCGTGTCGGGTTTCGTACACAAATTAAATGATATTGAATAATGATCTTGGAAATCTGGAATAAACGAACAAGTTTGCCAAGCCCCTGTTTGTGATCGGTGTTTGTATCAAACACCAAGCGTATTATGTTTGTTTCGCGACAATCATTAATGATTCCAATGTAATTTGATATTTGGAACATCATTATTTTTATTATTAATATTAATAAACTTACTTTCAATTACATTGAATACGAGTAGCGAATGAAACAATCTACGTAATACCATATTATAAACAATATATTCTTTGAAAAATAATAAAATTCAACACGGTAACATGTTTGTTTGTGTTTGTTCTAATGTAAACATATATCAAAATGTAATTTCTCGGCTCATTTACAACATCAATTAATTGAAATTTCAATTAATTCTTACATATAACAATTTATACTTAGTATTAAAAAATTATTAATTTATTTACGTGTTCGTCTTAGTGCATGTGAGGTAATATTTGTCATTTTTTTTAAATTTTTTATAAAACATTAGTTTTTTTAAACCGTAAATTACCAGCTGCCATAAATATTGGGCTTAAATTTATTTACCAATTTTGTATTGTGACGTCATTTGTATTCGTTTTTTAAACAATTATTACAGTACTAGCTGTCGTCCGCAACTCCGCTCGCACGGAATTAATAAAAAACTTAAAAAGTGGCCTATGTGTTCTTCCAGACTATTTACTAAGATCCGTTAAGCTGTTCCGCAGATATTTTCTAACAAGGATCCATCTTTCGCATTTATAATATTAGTAAGATACAGGTAAAAATCAAACGGCCACCTGAATACGCTAAAATAGCTAAGGCTTCCCAGATCACAGAAAGACATGATTACAAATGCGTTGTTTACCTTTAACAGAGTAGTGGGCGTATTGAAAGAAGATATTTCCCCTTCCAGTATGTAAGGTCACAACCTTCCTCAGCAAATTTAGTTCCAACTCTTTTTAAAAGAAGTTGGGAAGGGAAAGGCGGTTACAAAGGTTACTTAATTTCGCAAACTATGTTATAGTAACTTCGACTAGACTATAACTATGTAAATTACTGTATTTTTCTCAGTGTAAAGGTATAGATTTAACAAGTATAGGTGTAAGCAACCTTAACGTTGTTAAAAAGCAATCTCGTTGGAACACCGTTCGGGAAGCTGTCTATACTTCGTTAGTTCTCAAGGATATTGCAAAATTACTACCAATTCCTCATCAAATAATACCAATAATAAAGCAAATTGGAAGACAATCTACATTTATAAACTAATAAACACGTTGTTTAAATAACAATTACATTTGTTTTCCTTTTGACAAATTTATCTTACTAATATTATAAATGCGAATGTTTAGATGGATGGATGTTTGTTTGATATCTCCGGAATGGCTGAACTGATTTTGATGACATTTGGCACACACGTAGAACATAGTCTGGAAGAACACATAGGCTATTTATTATGTTATTTTAATTCCGCACGGACGGAGTCGCCGGCTACACCTAGTTGATAAATAATCATATGTAGATGACATATATAATATAAACTGTGGGTATAAATATGCAATTTCCAAGAACGAGGCAACGCCAGCAGCATACGGTGAAGGCATCTGCCGCAACGGAATTGCTCGAGTCCAAAAGATTCAACAAACACAGTGACCTATATATTTATAATCCGATATTCCAAAGGTATTATAAAATTGAAATCCCAAACAATATTTGGTTAATAGATGTTTCTCACGAGGACACAATTATAAAGCAGGGTAGTAGATAGAGGATTTATTCTTATACATTTAGATATATTTTGTCGAACTGATATATAAACACGGCTAAACACTCACGTATATACGTCCGGTGGCGGCACCGACTAGTTTCGAGCCCATCGGGGGCCCTTCATCAGGATGAGTGGCACTGGTATTATTTCGCGGACGCGGCCCGTCGCTCACTCACGTCCGCGAAATAATACCAGTGCCACTCATCCTGATGAAGGGCCCCCGATGGGCTCGAAACTAGTCGGTGCCGCCACCGGACGTATATACGTGAGTGTTTAGCCGTGTTTATATATCAGTTTAATATAATGTCTCACGAAAGTTTGAATAATTTAATATTTTGTCGATTTTATCTATGAGTTCAGTACTCTTTTGACAGTAAATATGCGTTCAAACCATGGCTGTACTGTATTATCTACTACCCTGTCTCACTTTTGCCTGATACCCTAGTGTGAAAGCCCATGAGGGAAATTTCGATAAACTGCTCTATATCTTGTTAGGAGCTGACAGCTGACAAGAAGGTTTCGGTTAAAGATTAATTCGCTGAATGGGCGTTATCTATTTCAGCTTAATCCTTGTTTCAATGAGAACTAAACGGCAATCGACTAAGTAATATCGTTAAATTATTCAAACTTTCGTGAGACATTATACTAAACTGATATATAAACACGGCTAAACACTCACGTATATACGTCCGGTGGCGGCACCGACTAGTTTCGAGTCCATCGGGGGCCCTTCATCAGGATGAGTAGCACTGGTATTATTTCGCGGACGCGACCCGTCGCTCACTCCTGAGCGACGGGCCGCCCACATAACTACCGCGTCCCCCCCGGGGCGCGGAGTATGCATAAAGCATTCCCCTCTGAAAAAAAAGGGTTCCGTACCTCATAGGAAAAAACGGAACCCTTATAGGATCACTTTGTGGTCCGTCCGTCTGTCTGTCAAGACCCTTTTTTTATACGTGTACTTATCATTAACCAACATTTATTAGAAATAAACGTATTAATCGTTTCTAAATCCATATTGTATCTTTTATTTCAACATGAATGATAGAATCTATATAAAATTCTCATATGAAAATTGAATATTCATTTTAGGAAAAAGTAACACAACTTTCTATTCGTATTTCAATTTTAGATTAGAGCGGAGGTTAGAACCAAATTGCTTTTCTGTTTTGCAAAGT